ATTTCTATATATATATATATATATATATATATATATATATATATATATATATATATATATATATATATATATATACATACATTGTTTAATTAAATAAATTGAATGTGTGTATATAATCGTATGACCTAAGTCCAATTTGGCTTTTGGTGGTAGACAAAGAAGGGGGCAAAATATATATATATATATATATATATATATATATATATATATATATATATATATATATATATATATATATATATATATACATACATTGTTTAATTAAATAAATAATTGAATAAGTAAATAAATAAAATAAAAGCCTCCATTTGATCAAATGTAAGATGTAAGTTAACTTTCTGTCTTTTTCTCAAAAAAAAAAAAAAAAAACAGTTAACTTTCTGTCTTTCCATATTGTTGACCTAGTACAATGTCTGCTAATGTATCAAGAAACCTGTCTAAATTACAAGTCTTTTGAATTGGTGGGATTAGTTTATATCATATAGAAGAGTTTTTGAAAAAAGAAAAAAAATCATTTGTCGATCCAATCTTTGAACACCAGCAACACGTAAAGAGGTACATTTATAGCAGCAACAACGATTATTGCTCGTAACCCTCTCAACAATCTCCATATTACCATTTTACCCCTCGATCTGTTCGCTCTAACGGACCCCACATATATACTTACATCTGGGTTCGTCGAGGCATCTCCTTCAGGTCCCGCCTGTTTTCGAACTTTCGATCTCATCACAGCATTGCCCCTGCAAAAAAAAAAAACAAACGAATATCTGAATATTTTGCCAAAAAAAAAAAAGAAGTTCCGTTTACGAATATCATCAGCCTTACCTCTCTATAGAGGTGCTCTCGTTTACGAATGTTGAGGAAACCTTTTTGGCTTTCTTGATAAGGTGCATCGACCCTTCCGCATCCCAAATCTCTTCATATTCGCAATTCTCGTCTTCGTTCTTCTCTTTTATCGCACTCCTAAAGCTGCTATATATATTCTTTATATTACCCATTATATTGCCTAGCTTTCTGGATATCACGACTTCATTGGCCGGCCAAACGAGGACGGTAATAAGGGTCATTACGAAGAGAGATAAATACCTGAGATCGAAAAATTTAAATTTATTAAATAAAAAAAAAACCGGTTATGCTAAGAAGTACGTACCATAGGTAGATATGTGTTTGCATGGGAAGAAAACAGAGTTGAGTGGAAATTGCATCTTGTGGAGTAGTTGTGGAATTATTAGTGGCAGATATTAGCATAAAAGAAGGATACAGGTTGCCCTGTTGCCAGCTTATAGTTCCTACAGTTTGCTGCATGATCCCTTGTAATAATCAACTCAAAGTTTTCAGTCGTATGATTTTATTACACGAATGCGAAAAAAGAGGAGTTTACCTCTGTCACAGGAACGTTCTTGGACATGTGGGTAACTGTGCATTGATCGTGATCGTGGCCAGAGAGAATTAGTGCCTGTAGAAACACAAATTAAATAAAGCTCTCGTCCTTTTCAGTTATTGTGTTTTTTCGGTAGAAAAATTAAGGTAATGCGTACAGGTCTGACTAGATCCAGTAGGACTTCTGTTGAGTTTTTAGTGACGTAATTCTGGTACCTACAAAACCACACGATAAAGTAAAAATATTACATTTGCAACTAAATAACGCAAGTACAGAAAGAAGGGATTTCTGTTTTTACCATATTTCTTGATTCTGACCGTCACGGTAAATTCGCTGGAATCAAATGTAAAATCATGCAACATATGAGTTATTATACAATTACAATGTAGGAATGGATAATAAAGGGAAAAAATTTACTGAAAGTAATATGAATGACTTTACCAGTTTACCTGATTGACGATTGGTGAAGAACGATGAGGGCCGCAAGGGGTGAAATCCGGCCGATATAAAGGGATATGAGTCAATAAAACCCTTGGATTTGAATAAATATCTGGATAAATTCAAAGAATTTCAAGGGCATTAATTAAAATCTCTGAAAAAAAGAAAAAAACAAATACAACGTTTATGACTTGAAAGTTGAAACCGGTGTCATGTACCTTGAGAGGCATTTTTTACGAAATCCCAGGTTTCTGATGTGAGTTTGCCTTGTGGATGACCTGCAGATAAAAAAATTTATCTGTTACACGTATATAATTAATCAACTCCCGATTAAATTAGAGGAATGCATTGTGTGTTTTTGGAGATATAAAGGCAGCATTAGAGGCATAGGCTGTATACCATCCAAAGTTTGTGAGTCGATTGCAATGAAGTCCACTTTTCCAAGTGTGACTTTAAAGTTACTCCCACCAAATTCTCTCTCGTGTCGTTTGACAATCTGCTCGACATAAATGTGAAAATACGATATTAAAGATTATACACACCTACACTCAGAAAACCAAATGCTAGTACCGAAGCAGAGAGCGTTCTGTTTTACTGGAAAAAACTGTAAAAGCTACAGAGAGTTCATACATACCTCTGGATTTCGAGAGTTGACATTTTCGTAACCGATATCATGGTTTCCGGATATGTAGTATAGTTTTATGTTTGAGTTTTTCCGAAGTATATTCAGGTTGAATATATGCTTAAAACGGCCCAAAGATTCCTCCCATCTATTAAGTAAAAACAATATTCAACCGTATCAGATTTCAATGATCACTTAAATTTACAAATAGCTTCCGCGAACTAATTATTATTTTATTTTTTCGAAGTTATGAAATTGCAACTTACTCTTGATCCGATAGAATGTAACCCCCGTCAAAGTAATCACCGAGAAACAAAACAACATCGGGATTGAAGGCTAATACAGATGAGACGAATGCCCTACGCATGTATAAATCTGTGTAGAACTGCACAATCTCGAGAGCAAGCGATTTCGGAGCAAGAGGAAGGGAGGTTTTATCCATGAGCTATCATCAATAAATCAATATCAGTAGCAATTGGTTATACACAACACAACACATAATTCACAATTTCCTTTCCCTCGAAAAGTTTACCTGAGGATCTGCAACAACAGCAATTTTCACATAATCACTCCCATTTTCAACTTCATTTAGCTGAGATTTTCAGAAACTTAACTGTGAGAATGCATTTTATCCAAAATAAGCCCATCAACCAATGGATATAACAGATACATACATTATACATATAATACATATAAGCAACTTGAAATTTAATCAACTATCCCAGGCTTATCAAATTGCAAGCAGATGCATAATTATCAAAACAAAAACAAAAAATCAAAGATGGTAACAAATTGAAATCAAATGAAACAGTGATCCATCAGAACACAGGATCCATAAACGAAGACGAACACAGTAGATGAGAAAGCTAGATAGTTAGATTCGAATTCATCGCACTGTAAGAAAAAAAATTGAAGTTAGAGAAAATGGGGGTTTTACCAGAGAAGAAGAAGAAGACGAGGGTTGAAGATGAGGCCATGAACAAGTCGATAGTGAAGGAATCAGAAATGCAAACCACTCTCCGTAAAGCAAATTCACAGCCCAAATTATGCTCAGAAACACACTCATTTTCCACATTTTTTTCTTCCTTCCTTCTCAGATTCTTAGTTCTAATCAATTAGTATTCAACCATCTCTGAATATTGAGTTTATTCAATTAAATTTAAATTATTATTTTTTTAGGAAATTGTTTATTAATATAAATTGGGCCGGCCCACTTTTCCAAGAGGGTAAATAGCACTTAAACCCCCTGTGGTTTGACTGTTTTGCAAATGACCCCCTTGTACTTTCGATATAAGAATACGACCCTATTGTATTTAACATAAGCACATAATCCTGCTTGTACTTTCAAAATTTTCGAATGAGCATGATTATTTGTCAAGTGGAATATGCTGAAAGTAGAAGGAGATCATGTGCAAAATGGTCAATCATATGGGGCTTAAGTGCTATTTGTAAAAAAAATATCGAACTTGGAATAGGGGGGTATGAATGGTTCAATTATATACGTAAATGACAAAATGCATTTCGCACCCTATAAAAATTTATTTTTTGCACTTTCCCGTCGACAAATTCAACAAAAAAGAGATTCATTCCTTTCAATAATTCATTATGATCGCATTCTGCACTAAATTACAATAGCCGGCGTATTTTTAGCCATAATTGCCATGAATCCGTCCAATGAAGGTCATTTGCGTCATTTCAATGATGAATCACTGTAATAGCTGCTAATCGAAGAAACAATTGAAGGTTCTCACAACTTTTGGAGCACATTAGGCACAACTCGTGTTGAAAAAGCAAAATAGCCTTAATTTTTTTATTCTCGAATTAGTAAAATGGTTTGTGTTCTTCGTATATTAAATTTTTTATGGGAAAAATGAAATGACTCAAATGCGTGGACGGATAAATAGCAATTCCGATAAAAACTACGCCGGAAATTCTAATTTGGGCAAAAATGTAAATAAAGCAAAATTTTGGAGGGAAAGAGTCCTTTTTCTTGACTGAGTTTCAAACCTTGAAATCACCATCAATATTTTACAATTTGTTTGAATTTCTGTTGGTTGCAACAAAAACAAAAAAAAGAAAGAAAAAAAAAGTATCTCTGCACAACTATTTTTCACATTCATCGTAATGTAAAATGAAAAATCGACATTAAAAAAAAAAAAGAAAAAGAAAAAAATTCAGAGATGTGTTTGCTCTTCAATCATCTTGTTGTCCCATCATCATCGTCGTTTCCCGATCAAGCCCTACCGCGCTGAGCCGATCAACGACTTGCTGAATCGCCGGTCTCTTCATAGGGTTTCGATCAACACACAAACACGCAACATCGAGCACCTCCGCCATCTCCTCTTCGAACCCCTTCCCCCTCAGTAGAGGATCGAACACTTCCTCCTCTCTCCCCTCGCTCCTCATCTGCTGCACCCACGCCACCACTTCCCTCGACACCTTTGGCCGGAAAACCTCCACCGGCCTCTTCCCCGTCACCAGCTCCAGCAGCACGACCCCGAAGCTGTACACGTCCCCTCTCAGAGTCGCCGTCCACGATTGGCTGTACTCCGGCGGAATGTACCCTAGCGTGCCGACCAATTCCGTCGTGACGTGCGTCTGGTACGGCAGGATCAACCTCGCCAACCCGAAATCCGCCACGTGCGCGTTCAGTTCGCGGTCGAGGAGGATGTTGCTGGATTTTAGGTCACGGTGGACTATGTGCGGCTCGCAGATCTGGTGCATATACGCAACCCCGTAGCTCGCCCCTTGAGAGATTTTCAGGCGAATTGGCCAGCTGAGTTGCGATGCTCCGTCTGGCTTCTCGTGCAGCCAATAATCGAGGCTGCCGTTTTCCATGTAAGTGTATATCAGCAACCTCAGCCCATTGTGGACACAGTAGCCTTGTAGGGTTACGAGGTTCTTGTGCTTGGCCGTGGACAAAGCTTCGACCTCCGCTTTGAACTCTCGTTCCATCAACCCCATGTCGCCGGAGAGTTTCTTGATTGCAAGAGTACTCCCATTCGGGAGGGTTGCTTTGTACACCAACCCGAAACCACCGCAGCCGATGATGTTTGATTGGTTGAAATTGTCTGTGGCTTTCAAGATATCTATTATTGTGAGATCCTCTGTTTTGTACTTATTGTTCGGAAACAGTACGACCAGGCTGGTTTCGTTTAAGCCTTCCGGATATGAAGAGTCGAAAGATGCTGTTTCTTCGGGGTCGTCTTTCGGTTGGATTCTCCGGTTCGAAAATGCCCAATAAACCAGAATAGTGATGGCTAAAATGGCTGCACATATCACAAAGCTAAGCGCAATGATGGTTTTCTTCGTTAGTAACCCTCCTCTCTCCATTGTGGAAGCTGGTGGCGGGATAGAGCACGTGCGTTGTAAGACTCTACCGCAAAGCAGTGGATTCCCTTCGAAGCTCGTGCTAGGGAAGGTGTCGAACTGCCCTCCTGTGGGAATCATGCCTCGAAGATTATTATACGCAACGCTGAAAAACGACAAGAAATTGAGATTCTGGAGCGATGACGGGATTTCGCCAGTGAGGTTGTTTTTTGACAGGTCCAAGAATTCTAAGTTGGCGAGATTGGACAGTGTTTGAGGAATGGTGCCGGAGAAGTTATTGCCGCTGAGACTAAGGGTAATGATGAACTTCAGCTGACCAATCTCGACCGGGATAGTTCCATTGAAGCTGTTATTAGCTAGATATATAGCCGGTGGTAAATTCGAAACGAGATTGTATTGCAGGATCGAGACATTATTGGGGCTAACAAAAACGGGCAGCTCGAGATAAGTGATGTCCCCTTGAGCAGAGTCTTGCTGAGACGACAGCCTTGGCTGTCTAGTGATTTCGACGGGGAAGTATCCGTTCAGTTTGTTGTTGGACAAATCGAAGTAGAATAGATTCGGTAGAGCACCGATCCAACCTGGGATGAACCCTGTCATGATATTGTATGACAGGTCTAGAACCTCGAGACTCGTTAGCTTTTTCAGCCACAGCGGAACAACTCCGGTGAATCTGCAGCCGCCGAGAGCCAGTATCCTGAGATTCTCTAGCTCGCCGGGGCCGATCAAGCTCTCGTTTTCGGGCAACTCTTCGTCATAGAAATTTTTCGACAGGATTAAGGTGGTGAGGTTTTTGCAGCCTGACAAGATCCTAAGAGCACTCGTGAAATTCGTTAGGTTGTTCCTGGAAATCGAGATGAAAGACAAGGACTGCAGTGCTGCTATATTGGGCAGCATCTCTCCGCTGAAGTTGTTGGTGGCCAACCGAACCGCCGCCAGTTTCTTGCAAGAAAACAGGCTCGCCGGCAGACTGCCGCTGAAGAAATTGTTGCCAAGATCGACCGTCTTGAGCTGGACGAAATTCGAGAAGTCAAAGGAAGAGAGCTGACCTTCGAGGGAGTTGACCCTCAAATTCAGTAATGTGAGGTTTGTGCAGTTTGTGAGGGAAGATGGGATTTCGCCGTATAGTCTGTTTATGTGGAGCTGCAACTGCTCCAAATTCGAGAGCCTCCCAATATCCGAAGGGATCGTACCTGTCAGTTCATTACCGAAAAGTGCGAGTTTTTTAAGGTTGACGAGATTGACAATCCTTCGATCCATGACCCCGGATAACTTATTTGCTGGCAAGTACAGTTCTTCCAATGTCAGCAAACCGTACACATCAAACGGAACCTCACCCGAGAAATTGTTGAAGCCTGCTCGTAAAGACTTCAAATTCGAGCACCGACCGAACCCTTGATCAATCGGGCCGAAGAAGTCATTGTTGGAAAAGTCAACTTGCTGCAACGAGTTTGACGAAAAGTTGCAGATAGACGCAGGGATTGATCCGAAGAAGTTATTATTGCTGACATCAAAAGCTTCCAAATTCGACGCTGGCTCGAGAAACGAAGACGGGATTGTGCTGTGGAAGTTGTTCCCAGACAAGTTGAATGTCCGAACGTTGGGGGGCAAGTCTTGATCGTTTGTTAGGGAACCCGATAAACGATTGATGCTCAAATCAAGAAACCGGAGCTGAGAAAGAGCGGTGAGGTTGAGAATGGAAGCGGAGACTGGCCCCACTAGGCCTCGAGATGGTAGCCGGAGATCGGTGACTCTGCCGGAGTTCTCATCGCAGAAGATTCCTTCCCAGCTGCAGCAATCGACTGACGGAGACCAATTCAATGGAGGTGAGGCGGAGATGCTCAGAGTGAACGTCGATAAAGTACTACGATCGGCATCATTGCAGGCGGCGGTGGTGGTGGAGGAAAAGCAAGAAACTGTGACTAGAAATAATAATAATAAGGAAGAAGATGCATGAATAAAGGTAGACATCAAAATCAAGAGCATAAGTAGTGCTCTAATAAATTGGATTTTATTGTGTATATATATATGTATATGATGAATGTAACAGAAGAAGAAGAAGAACATAAGAGGAAGAAGACAGATGAAGGAGGTAAAAGATACTCCCACTCAAATCTCATGTGGGGTTTCTTCTGCCCATTCAAACATGTAACAAATAATTTAAAAATTTAACAATGGAAATAAATAAACATTTATTATAACAAATTAACAATCATCAAAGGCGTTTACTTTTTTTCCGATCGCCTGTCTTGTGGACTTTTTCTTTTATTTAATTTAATTACTACTATTTATTTATTTATTTTGATGATTATTGTGATATATATATACAGTCAACCATGGTTAAATGCTTGTTGTTCCAGGATATGAAGATTTAAAGAATGAATATTCCAACGCACTTATAACATTGGTGGGGATATTAAAATAAATAATGATGGGCCAATTGGAGAATAGACAATGTGTTTTAACAGTTGTGAATATTTTAACTATTTATTGTGTAAAGTCAAAACATGTATTATTAATTTATTATTACTCTCCTTCCATCTCTATTTTTTTATTTCTACAAAATAAACAGACACGTCACTCACTGTATGTTTCATCTTCCAAATAAATACCTCTTCGAACCCTTCTCAGGTTAGTATCAATACATGATCTCACAGCACATATGAGCACACTGTTTATATATATATATATATATATAAAATATAATTAAGGAAATTTTATAAATAATTGTGGAAAAAACTACATAATTAGGTATCAAGAATGTTAATGGGCCTAAAAAATCGAATCTTGAACCTCAGACTGTATTTATTGGAATACATATATCATCAGCCCAATTATGGAAAAAACACTAATTTGTCGCAAAAAAAAAAAAAAACAATTACTAAAATTAACTCATAAAGTAAAAAAATAATGATTTTTTTTTTCTTTTTTTGGTAAAATAAAAAGTGAAGAAATTTGAACACTGGTAAAAAAAAAAAAAAGTAATTGATTCAGCCAAATCTGAGAAAAAGGGGACAGAATCCAGAATCTGAAAAGCAAGAATGGGAGAGATGATGCAAACCAGGTACCTTTTTACAGACAAGAAGAATACTTTCATGGAAAAAAAGCAATTAGGCTTGTCCCATACATACTGCAATTTCAAGGCAATTCCACAATAGCACATCATAGCAAAATGTAGCTAAACATCATGGAATATATTATGAACCCAACATCTATATGTATATATATGTATATATATATGTAGACACAGATACTAAACTCTTGGATGCAATGTGATCCAAGAAGTCATATCTATTTTCCAACTTTAGAGCATTAATTTGAAGCAATCAAACAAGAAAAACCATATCGAGACTCGGAAAAAGGAAAATGATCACCGAAAATAGAATTCATTTCATTGCCACGAAAACACTTTATCGTCAAAATTCAGGATCTATTTGTAGTTCAAGTTTGCATACTTCGACCTCATAGAATCGACAAGTAAAACAAGATTTAGGGGGGAAACAAAAAAGAACGATAAATATTCCCAAAAACTAGGTAACGATCAAGCAGACGAAAAATGTGGGCGAGCAGGGGGTAATAACTGATGAGATTGATGCACCTGATTGCTCCCCCTCGCCTGCGGGGCGTGCAGCGTAATGAATGGATGCTTCAAAAGCTGAGAAGCGGTCCAACGCTTCGACGGATCCCTTTGAAGGCAGCAAGCAATAAAATCCCTAAACTCTCTGCTCGAAGAAGGAGGCGCCTCGGGCGGCTGCGACATACAGATTGCACACATGAGACTTGCCCAATCTCCTTTTCCAACAGCAAATGGAAACTTCCCCAAGTAGAATTCGAGAATGCTGACCCCCGAACTCCAGATATCCCCTGCATATCCATCGTAACGGCCATGGTTTAGATCTGTGTTGATTCTCTCTGGACTCATGTAAGCAATTGTTCCCACAGAGGAATTGCAGGGGTCCATTGTTTGAGCTAGAACTCTGGACACTCCGAAATCGGCTATCTTGACGATTCCTCGGGAATTGATCAGTAGATTGGAGGGCTTGATATCGCGGTGGACGATTTTGCGCTTGTGGAGGTAGTACAGTCCGCAGAGAATCTGGCGGGCGAGATCAGATAGAGAGGGTTCATGGGGGATGTGTGTGCCCTCGAGGGAGCCTTTGTCCATGTACTCGAGGAGGACCTGAATTTCGCCGTTGTGGTCGATTAGGTTGTGGCACCTCACGACGTTAGGGTTGTCGACGTCGCCGAGTATCTGGATTTCACGGCGCATCTGGTTCCGGACGGCGTCCTCGTGGTTGCCGTAGATCACCTTCAGGGCGTAGATTTTTCCGGTAGGGCGGTGGAGGACTTTGTAGACGGTGCCACCGGCGCCGCTGCCGATTCGGCTGACCCGCTCCAGCTCGGAGTAATCCAGCTGCGCGACGGAGGAAGGGTAGGTTGGGGGAGCTGAGCTCGGCGGCAGGGGAAGCGGAACGGCGAGGGACGGGTCGCGCTGGGGTAGAGGGAGGGTTAGGCCAGGGCGCCGCCGTGGACGGACTGCGCGATTCGCGGCGGATCCGGCGGCCGGCGGTGGTTGGAGAGGCGTCATGATTGATTGATTGATTGAATTAAAAACAAACACAAAAAAAAAAATGCGAGAAATCAGAGAAGCTAATCAATCACCCGAAACACAACTCCTAAAATCTCTGATTCTGCAAATGTTCAAGCGATTAATTTTCAGGAGATGTTGATTGAAATGGGGGAATCTAAGAAATCAATCATGGAAATCGGGATTCGTTTTTTCTGTTTCTAGGGTTTGTGTGAAAAGGGGAAAGAAGAAGGTTCTTCGAACAATGGAGGAAAATGAAAATTAGCAGACAAACAAAGAGGAAGAAAGGAGAGCAAGGGGTTTTGTTTGGCCGTTGTGACTTGTGAGGGGGGTGGGGGTGGGGGAGGGGGGTGGAGGGGGCGATTATATACACACACGCACCTGTATATATTACTATATTCGTAAATATATATTTAATATTATTTTCATTTTCTTTTTTTTACCTTTTTTGGTTGTTCTCTTACCTTATTTATGAATTATGTTTATCCATTGTCTTCTCTTTTATGTGTTTTTTTAATATAGTAAAAATTCAAGGAATTCATTTTTCTTCATTTACGTTTGCTTAAGTAAATTTCAAAATATCGTTTTGTTCGTTGTAATCCACAGTCGATACTCTTTGAAGTCGAAGTCGAACTCGACTTAAATCAGAAGACGAGTGTCAACTAGTTAGAGAGCTCTCATTTTAGTTAATCTAAAGCGTTGCCGTGTTACTATGTTTATATTATCATAATCATTGCGAGATTATATCTACCGTTTTCTTACATGTGTGCGTGTGCGTCTTACTTACATATTATTATTATTATTAGTCTTTTTGGGATGGATCGTGAATTGTATGTCTAGCAATTGTATTACTTTCGAATCTAATTATTCGGCATTTTTGTTTGGATCGGTTTTTTTTTTTGGTATATCATTATTCTATATTCCATTGAACTCGTGTTTTTTTAGTGAAATTTTGAAAATAATCAAATTTAAAAGTGAAAACTCTTGGTATTCTCTTTAGATTTTATCATTTTATTATTATTAAATATATCTTATAATAACAGCTAGATGAAATCTTAATTTTGTGAACATTTTAGGTAAAATATTTGGGTGACATTATTGAATATTACCATACATGATAGGCAATTTAAAGAACAAAATTCAAAATGACAATAATAATTTAATAATTTAAAAATGATTAAAAACAGAATTATAATAATAATTTATTTAAATCAAAATTATTGTTATGCAAAGAAACAAGAAAAAAAGATTCTCCATTATTCAACTGAATTTCCCACCAAATACACTGCTACTCTTTCTCTCTCTCTCTCTCTCTCTCTCTCTCTCTCTCTCTCTTCATAACCGCCATTAACACGCTCTTTGAAACCTCCCCAAACCCTCTTTTTCCCTCTCTGCCACACACAAATATACTTCACAGAGAAGAACACAAAGAAAACTCGAAGCTCTGCAACAATGGGGGGAAAATTCTTCACCCTCTGGCCTCCATTTCTGATTCTATTGATTCTCAGCTCAATCGGTTCTCTACGCACAACGTATTCTCAACCAAGTAACGATCTTGCTCTTCCGATTACGTTTCTGTACTTTATTGTTTGCAATTTCCTTTCAATTTGTTTCTCGTCGACGATTCCGATCATTGATTTTCTGTGTTTTTTTTGTTTTTGTTTTGTGTGTGTGTGTTGTGTTGCGTTGCAGGTCCGGCGTATATGGGCTTCTTATCGAACGCGACGGAATTCCCGGCGGAAGATTACTACGACTACATCGTGGTCGGCGGCGGCACCGCCGGATGCCCCTTGGCGGCGACGCTGTCGGAGAAATTTAGGGTTCTCGTTCTCGAAAGAGGCGGGGTTCCATTCGGCGACCCTAATCTGATGAATCGCGACGGTTTCCTCACAGCCCTAACGGAGGTCGACGCCTACGAATCCCCCGCCCAAGCTTTCACCTCCGAGGACGGCGTTCCGAACGCCAGAGGCAGAGTCCTCGGCGGCAGCAGCGCCATAAACGCCGGTTTCTACAGCAGAGCCGACCCAGATTTCTACGCCAGATCGGGAATCAATTGGGATCTCCCAACGGTGAACCAGTCCTACAAATGGGTCGAAAACGCCGTCGTTTTCAGGCCCGATCTGAACAACTGGCAATCCGCCGTCAGAGACGCTCTGCTCGAAGCCGGAATCTACCCGTACAACGGCTTCACCCTGGACCACATTGTGGGCACCAAAATCGGCGGCTCCACCTTCGACAACTCCGGCCACAGGCACACCGCCGCCGACCTCCTCGGATACTCGAACCCTTCCAACATCAAGATCGTCATCCACGCCACCGTAGAAAGAATCCTCCTGGCATCCAAAAATTCCAACCCCAGAACACAATCAGAAGCAATCGGAGTCGTTTTTCGAGATCGAACAGGCCAGTACCACCACGCCATGGTTCGAGACGGCGGCGAAATCTTGCTCTGTGCAGGTGCACTCGGCACCCCACAGCTCCTCCTCCTGAGCGGGATCGGGCCCCGCCCCTACCTCGCCTCGTGGGGTATCCCCGTCGCCCACCACTCCCCTTACGTGGGCCAGTTCCTCTACGACAATCCAAGAAACGGGATCTCGATAGTGCCACCCGTCCCACTCGACCACTCGCTGATCCAAGTCGTCGGCATAACAAGCTCCGGCACTTACCTCGAAGCAGCCTCGAACATCGTACCCTTCACTTCCCCGGCCCGGCCCGCTTTCATCCGGTCGCGGTCGCCCGGCGGTTCCTCCACCTTCATCACAGTAGCCACCCTAATGGAGAAAATAGTGGGGCCCGCTTCTCACGGTTCGTTAAGGCTGGCTTCGACAGACGCGAGGGCGAACCCTCGCGTTCGATTCAACTACTTCAGTAACCCTAGCGATCTCGATCTGTGCGTGAACGGTACTAGAAGGATCGGCCATGTGCTGAGGAGTAGGGCTATGGAGGATTTCAGGTTCCATCAGTGGTTCGGCGGGAGGGAGTTTCGGTACGTGGGGCCCCCGCTGCCACGCGATCTGTCCAGCGATGCAAGACTGAGGGAGTTCTGCCGGAGAACCGTGACCACCATATGGCATTACCATGGTGGTTGTCTGGTGGGGAGGGTGGTTGATGGAGACCTTAAAGTGATTGGGATTGATTCTTTGAGGGTGATTGATGGTTCGGTTTTTACGGTTTCGCCCGGTACGAACCCTCAGGCGACTCTTCTGATGATGGGGAGGTGAGTGAGTTTGTATGTAGTATGGTTTTCGATTCGAGGGGTGTTTTAGTCTTTTTAGCATCGATGGGTGTTTTTGTAAAAAGGATTAACATTTTTGTTTGGTGCAGGTATTTTGGTCTGAAGCTGCTTAAGGAGAGAGCAAGATAAAGATGGTTTTCTGCTGCAAGAAGAAGAGTAGTAGTTAGCTTCCATTTTGTTGTGTGATTAAGCAAAGGTTAGTGATAATTGTGATTAGCATTTGGTGATTAGCTGGTTTTTGTGTGATTACACATTTTGTTGCACATATTATATTTTTGACTTCTAAATAAACATTTGATTCCAATAGTTAATTTTTGTTTGTTCATTCTTTCATCTGCCCTGTTTGGATTCTATGTGATGCACATTGCTTACAAGTTGCACACAAACACACACAGACTGAGAAGTGTGTGTGTATACAGGGATTTTGTTCTGAGATTAGTGATAATTGTGATTAGCATTGGTTTATTCAAATGCTAATCACTATTATATATATATTCCAAAAAGTTTCATATGGCATTACTATTATTATATTTTTTTAATTTTTATGATATATATATATATAATTTATATACCAATGCCTTCATATTATAAATAATTGTATATCTTCAAAACATTTTCAAATAAAAATTCAACATATTCGAAAATTATAAATGTGATAAGATTTCTGGAAAGTTTCGATTTTTTTACAACTTCGGGCTGTAAAAATTCGGGTATGTTCCATTTTTTGTTTAAATCAAAATTGTAAGTCAATTTCTACTTCCGGATTTTTTTTTAAATTTATTTGATTTTTCGATATTTCGTCTACATTCACTAAAACAAAATTTCTAAGATATATGGGGTTACTATTATATTAGTGGTTGATGAAAACTAAATGTAATCCCTAAAAATATTTAAAAATAAATAATAAATAAACTAAATATAATCCCTAAAAAATATTTTTGAAAAATAATAAAGTAAATAAAGAGGAAAACTATAAATAGATTAGTGGTAAGCGGATATTCGCGGCAATACCATTTTCTGCGTTTCCCTTTTCATGAGCGTGTATATATTTGTTTGCTGCTTCCTCTACGCAGATTCAAACTCTGCAACTCTAACACACACACTAAAACACACACACATATATACACACACATACATACATACATATATACACACAACAGAAGAAAGCAAATTAGCATGGCTACCACCTCCATTTTCTCAGCAACGACGACTAATCTCAGTGCCCTAACTCCTCCAATTAGTGCTTCTCCTCCCGACAAGAAAAACTCCAATTCCCCTTTCTCTCACCTCTCCTTCTCCAATTCCTCCTCCATTTTCCCCCAAAAATTCTCTCTCTCATTCTCCACCATCTTCAACAACCCCGCCGTTTCACGCCGCTCCGGCACCGTCTCCAATGTCCACCATTCCGATTCGGTACGATCAGATTCGGATCCATCCGGCGTCGGATCGCAGAAGCCGACCATCTTAGTCTCGGAGAAGCTTGGAGAAGCTGGTCTCGATGTGCTCCGCACCTTCGGGAACGTCCTGTGCTTGTACGAATTATCTCCGGCGGATCTGTGCGCGAAGATTTCCGACTGCGATGCCCTGATTGTTCGGAGCGGGACCAAGGTGACTCGCCAGGTTTTTGAAGCCGCCAAGGGGAAGCTGAAGGTGGTGGGGCGAGCCGGCGTTGGGATTGACAACGTGGATCTCCAGGCGGCAACGGAGTTCGGCTGTTTGGTTGTCAATGCCCCCACCGCCAATACGATTGCCGCAGCCGAGCATGGGATTGCTTTGCTCGCTGCCATGGCTCGGAATGTTTCACAGGCTGATGCTTCCGTCAAAGACGGTACGGTAATTGTGTGAATCAGTCACTCCTGCGTTATTCAGTTTTGTTTGATTTAGCAATTAACTAATTCTATCCTAGGAAAACAAATTAAGCAAAATATGATTAAAGAGAATGTGGATTGATGATGTTTTTCCTCGACTCAGATTTAGAAATATCGAATCAATTAAGCATACGTCTTTCGACTGTAAGGCAACAAAATCATTGTCTAGAGACTTCCACCCGTTGTTAAATTGAATCTATATCAGAAACCAATGAAGGCGTTATCCGTTTATCGATCTTGAGTAACAATCTTGATTTCTTCTATATCATATTGATTGTATGTGATGATCTTTCTTGATAGGAAAATGGCTACGCAATAAATACGTTGGTGTTTCTATGGTCGGAAAAACTTTGGCAGTGATGGGATTCGGAAAAGTTGGTTCCGAAGTTGCAAGGCGTGCAAAAGGACTCGGAATGCATGTTGTTGCACACGACCCTTACGCTCCAGCCGATAGAGCACGTGCTATCGGTGTGGACTTGGTCTCGTTCGATCAAGCCATCTCCACCGCGGACTTTGTTTCTCTCCATATGCCTCTTACTCCTGCAACCGACAAGATATTTAACGATGACACATTTGCAAAGATGAAAATGGGAGTCCGCATAATCAATGTCGCACGTGGTGGTGTTATCGATGAAGATGCTCTGATGAGAGCACTCGACAGTGGAATAGTTGCACAGGTACATTGCTCTTTTGTTGCATTTCTCTAGAACTGATATACACTATGAATTGTTCTGTTTCTTCTCGGTCGAATTGAATTTTATATCGTCTTCTAATGAACTTATAACACAATAAATACAGTCCCTACTATTCTCGTGCTTAACAAAGCGTAATTTTGTCAATATATAGGCAGCACTTGACGTGTTCACAAAGGAACCCCCACCCAAAGATAACAAACTAGTGCAGCATGTGAATGTCATAGCCACACCTCATCTTGGAGCTAGCACAAAGGAAGCACAGGTTGATATCAACATACTTTATTGGATCGATATAACTATCGATAGCTTCGTAGCTTTCTTAAATATTTCGTCATAGTAATACGAGTTTTTATTTCAGGAAGGAGTTGCAGTTGAAATAGCAGAAGCAGTTGTCGGTGCGCTGAGAGGGGAACTCTCCGCCACTGCAGTCAACGCTCCCATGGTTCCTCCACAGGTTAAAGCAAAACCCATTTTTACTACTTTTTCTTTTTCTCTTTAACTTTTTTCATCAACGATGGGTTTTTTTTTTGTACTTTTGTAATAATCAGGTCTTGTCTGAATTAGCTCCTTACGTAACTCTAGCCGAGAAACTCGGTAGACTTGCTGTACAGTTAGTTTCTGGTGGCAGTGGAATCCAATCAGTGAAAGTTGTTTATTGCTCAGCTCGCGATCCAGATAACCTAGACACGAGACTTCTTCGAGCAATGATAACAAAGGGCATAATCGAGCCTATATCGAACGCTCATATAAACCTTGTGAACGCAGATTACAAAGCCAAGCAGAAAGGCATTAGAATAAGCGAAGAGAGAGTCTTTGTCGACTCTTCGCCCGAGAATCCAGTGGAGACTATTCAGGTGCAGATAAGTAACGTTCAGTCGAAATTCGAAAGTGCCTTGTTGGGAAATGGGAATATAAGTATTGAGGGGAAAGTAAAGTACGGAATACCTCATTTGACAAGTGTGGGGTCCTTTGGCGTGGATGTGAGCTTGGAGGGGAATCTGATACTGTGCCGCCAGGTGGACCAACCGGGAATGATCGGGCGAGTAGGGAATATTCTCGCCGAGGGTAATGTGAATGTGAGCTTTATGAGTGTTGGAAGAACTGTGAAGAGGACGAAGGCTATTATGGCAATTGGTGTCGATGAAGAACCTGATAAGGCTACACTTAGGCAAATTGGAGATGTGCCTGCTGTAGATGAGTTCGTCTTTCTTGATCTTTGAAGTTGCTTACTGATGGATTTATTTATTTATTTTTTTAGATATTTAAATTCTTTTTCAAGACGATTTACGTCGTATTGATTTCGTAGAAAACAATTTTGATTTTTTTTTTCTTGTTGTAGTTTCATTATGTAGTTCTGTGGAAAACATTTGGTGCTTCCACTTATACAAGTTAAATGAAATAACAAGTATATTTCCGTTGATAATCATCATTGACAAAGTGCAATCGTAATACCGAAAATACCAATCAATATCGAAAATACAAGAATGTGCTACCGGCAGTTCGAAACGCTACCAATCCAAACACATCATTAATTTCCATTCATCAATTGCCCCTGGATAAACGAAAGCAAGTGACAAATCAGTAATATAATTTTGCAGAATCCTACTCACACACGCGGGCGAAAAACAAGACAAAGAATGAACTTACGAATTCATCATCAATGTGATGTTGTCCCCTTTTAAAAGAATCCTTCCTGATTCACCAAAAAAAATTAAAAGAAAGTATGCATCTCGTATCGAATATACTAATTAAATATATATATATCCAACCATCATCGAGTAGTAAGTACTAACCGAGTTGCTTTCTGCTGCTCTTCTTCACGTTGACTTCTTCGGCATCGTCCAGGACAAGATTCATGTATTCGTCAAAGCCCTGCCCAGAACAGACTTTAACACTTTTGTCGAAAATTTAAATCGAAATTCGGGATTGACGAACACATAACAAATCAATCAAATTTATACTTCTTCAATATGCATAATCCATCAAAGAAAATACAAATAATTCATGCAATCATGAATCCAAACCAAACCCTCGTACTAACAAAATATCTTCGCCAACTAAATTAGCTCTCATCGCTTCCGTTTCTTACTTCTACGGAACATTTAAAAGATCACAAATGTTCACAGACAACTATAAAATAGAAAAGCATGACTTACTATAATCCGGCCTTCGATCCGTAAATCCTTTTGCTCGAAAAGCCATATCTGAATTCGAGCTTTCTGAACAAAATTCACAGCACAAAGTACAATTACTCATCTAATTCACTGATGTTTAAATTAAAAAAAAAAAGGATAACAAAAGATCGAGATGTCAGCTGCACACTTACACTTTGAAGAAACCTAAAAATCAAATTCTGCCAAAAAAAAATTAGAGAAAGGAGAAAAAATTGTTAGCTAAATCAAATATTTTAGGGGGGGAAATTGAAGGAGAAGAAAGGTGAAATGGTGAAGTTACTTACAATAGGTTGGGTCATAATCCTCTGGACTTTAGTACTAGCCATGGCTGCTTATTGTCTCTCTGTCTGAACTTTCAGTATCTTCTTCTTCTTCTCTTCGATGGCGGAAACCCTAGCTCAATTTTTCAATTACTGGAATCCTTAAATAATCTCCCGCGCGAAGCCAAGGGCATTCTCGGTAAATAGGGTGTTAAACTTATCAGTAGCCGTTGGCGACATATAGCTACGTATTTAGTCCATGAAAATTGTGGACGGAGATTCATTCATCAAATTTATATTACATCTTTTTTTTTCAAAAATTCTAATTTACGATTTTTCTGATTCTTTCGGAACAAATTTAGAATACATATATGTTTTTTGATGACCGATTCGATTTTAATTTTCAATAATTCAGATTGTTACCAAAAAAGAATTACACATATAACATCACTGTGTATCATTATGTCATTTACATTACAATTAGACTAAAAAATGGAATTTTTGTTCAAGAAAAAAAATATAAATTTCCGAATTTCGTCGATTATAATCCTAAATTTTAAACTAATATATATATATAGGTAAATTCCACTTTACCCCCTTGTACTTTGGTTCGATATCAATTTACCCCCTTTTACTCTCAATTCATCGATTTGCACCCTTGTACTTTGGCTTGATATCACTTTACCCCCTTCTACTCTCAATTGCATCGATTTGCCCCCCTGTACTTGAAAAATTATCGCATTGTGGCCCTCGCCGTTAGTTTTCAGACCTTTGACCTTAACACCGTTTGATTTAAGTTTGAAAATAACAAAAATCCATCCCTCCCAGTTTAAATAATTATTAATAAAATAAAAAAAAATTGTGGCTGGCGTCGTGACTATGTTTTCTCGTGTCTGAATTTTTATATTTATTTTTGTGTTTTTTTATATATATATTTTCTATTATTAACTGAGATGGACTTTAGTATTTCATACTAATCGACGTGTAAGTCAAGTCGA